CCCCCCCCCCTAAATTTTGTTTATTTTGGGTTCAAAATTTGTGACACTAAAATCAACTCAATTTGGGGGATGATACTGAAGAAGTTGGGGAAGAATTCGGGTCAGATCGAGATGGGAGATTTATCTAGTGGTGGGCAAACAAGTCCTGGAACCGCATAACGAAACTGAATCGCACGATTCGGGGCGAGTTAGGGCCAGGTCCAAAAATTTATCTTTAAAAACCTACCGAGTCATAGCTGTTCCTCAAATGAAACAAGTCAGACCGGTTTCTAATATTTAGAAACATGTAGACTCAGACCGACCTGTTTACTACTACTACGTATAATTTAATAATATTACAAATATACAAATAATACAATATACAAAGCATTAAATAAATTTAACTATATACAATATTGCAGTTTAGTTTTTTCATCAAATTGTATTAATAAATAAATTTTATATGGTATATTCAATATCCTATTAATAAAATTATATATACAACATAATTAGTAAAATTTTAGTCGTCAATAGCATTTTTTTCAATTCTTATAGGTTATACAACTTCAATTGGTTGAAAGTCCTTTACATACTTGTTGTTTTAACAAATACACTTGTTACTTAAATTTTTTTTATCTAAAAAATATTTATTTCGTTTTTTAAACCATTCCTGTTTACTATTAAAGGCATCACGATAACTTTTGTTTGCTTGTATTTTTTCACTAGTCATTTAATTTGACAAAATAAAAATATTCTTGTCACTACTTATTTTGTAGAATTTTTGATGTAGTATAATAGACGTATAGCATGGTTGGAGAAATAGTTAAAAATAGATATGTAAAATACTACTCCCTCTGTCCCTATTTTGATTACAAATTACGAAAAACGAAGAAAAATCTCGAGTTTTTCAATTCATATTGTTTAAATATTGAGACATAAGTAAAAAATAAACTTACATATTTAAAAACTACATCAAAAAGTTTACAAAATAAAAGGTGACAAAAATATTTTATTTTATCACATAATCAATAAAAAATACACAAATCAACAAAAGTTATTGTGATTTTGGAGTACTAAACATTGTAATTAATTGTGGGACGGAGGGAGTATTCGTTTGCTAAAAGAGTACTCCCCCGTTCCTGAATGTTTATTCACTTTTGACTTTTTTTTGGTCAAAATTGATATCTTTGAACTCAAATTAAATAAAAATTATATAAGATATTGATACAAAAATAGTTTCATTAGATTTATTATATACAATATTTTTAAAATATTATTTTATCTAATTAATACACAATATATATTTTACGGAGTATATCATTATAGATCAAAGGTTGAAAATAGCTGACCAGAAAAAGTCAAAACTAGACAAATACTGAGTGACACAGGTATAGTATTTAGCATCTCATTTCTTAACAAATCTATTAGAGATGCTCTAAAAGCATGTAAATAATAGTTTCTCCGTTTCTAAAAAAAAATCTCCAATATTTTAAACAACTTGGAGGTAAGAAAGGCAGGAATGAATTAAGGAAGACATGCATAATTAGAGTCAATAATGGTGTTTTAATCAATGAATCCGACAGACCTACCTCGTCCACGTACGTTTCACATGAAGGGAAAAAAGCAATAAGGTTAAAATTGTCAACAACAGACAGCCACCTTTGCCTAGCCCGCCATTATTTTATCTACTGACTCATTTACATCGACAAAAATATGGGTACAAATTTTGAAATATAATTTTAAAATATCATATTTCATAACCTATATTTATGTATAAATATAGATATTAATGGTCAACAAATTAAAATATCTCTTTCTTTCTTAATTTTTTACATACCACGTTAATGCGTCCTCACACTTTGCCTTCTTTTATAATTGTAGGCCCACAAGTTATAAATTTATTTTAATCCATAAATGTCAATTTTCTTTGAATAAAAAAATGAATGTAAAAAACTTTCTACAATTTTTAAATTTTTTTCGCTCTTTACTCCTTTTATTTCTCTTTTCCCCCCTATATCCTAACCATTTCCCCCATAAGTCTAAAGTTTGATTCCTAACAACTGAAGTCGATGTTAGCTATGCTAAGTATATAACATCTGTAAATATTAGATGCAAGATCCACTCTTTGTCAACTAATCTGTGGTTAAACTCAAAATTTAAGTGCTAGATTAGAAAATGACATATGTTTTACTAATATTTACTGCAAAATTCAATGAAAATGTTAAACCAAACACAATTGGAAAACAAATAAATTCAACATAAGCACCTTATTAAGGGTCCCACATTTGGTCTTCTTTTCCTCTCCCACTCAATACTCTACTACCATACCAGTAAATACCCCCCCTCTCCCCCCCCCCCTAAAAAAACACACCCATGAATTCTCCAACACACACCGGCGGACGGCCGGCGACCACCGCCGAGGGATCGTCGCGATCCGCCACCGGCCCCCGTCAGCCGCCGCCTAGCCGGTACGAGTCCCAAAAGCGGCGCGACTGGAACACGTTTAGCCAGTACCTAAAGAACCAGAGACCGCCGGTCCAGACGATGGCGCAGTGCAACTTCAACCACGTGCTGGAATTCCTCCGGTACCTCGACCAGTTCGGGAAGACTAAGGTTCACGTGCACGGGTGCGCATTCTTCGGGCAGCCGGACCCTCCGTGCCCCTGCGCCTGCCCGCTCAGGCAAGCCTGGGGCAGCTTGGACGCGCTGGTGGGGCGCCTCCGAGCCGCCTACGAGGAGAACGGCGGGTCGCCGGAGAATAACCCGTTCGGGAGCGGCGCCGTTCGGGTTTTTCTCCGGGAAGTGAAGGAAAGCCAGGCTAAGGCGAGAGGAATTTTGTACAAAAAGAGGAAAAAGAAGAGAAGGAATGTGACAAATCCGATTCATAATAGTCCATAATAATAATAATGTCGAGTGACTTGGAAATTGAAACAGTCCAGTTTGTTGTTGTTGTTGGCCAAATATCAGAAAATGATTGGTAAGTATTTCTTCCAATGCAACTATTTGAACACTAATCATCAATTTATGTGTTCATAAATATTTCCTTGCACGTGGAATTAAATTTGTGACTTTTCATTTAGAAGAATCACCTCAGAGCCTGTTTGGTGACTTCTTCAGATATGATATGATATAGATTTCAAAATATGTGAGAAATTATACCAATTTTGAAATTTGAAATAAAACTGTTTGTAGAAATTTAAACTTAGAATTTAATCACTGATTGGCGAAGTTGCCGGCATCGGAGGAGGTTAGCGGTGACAGTGGTAGCTTGTGGCAAAGAATGGACGACGTTTGAAGTTGATATCAAATTTCTACATTGATATCTCCCAAATTGAAGAGATATCGAAACTCTCCATTTAGAAGATTTATAATATCTGAAAATATCGGATTTGAATTCTTTTTGTCTCACCAAACACAAAAAAAAAATCTGATATTGGGATATTTTTATAAACTCATATATCATACACTCATCAAACATGCCCTTAGTGTTTTTAGGCCATAAGGTCTTTGGCTTTTCTTCCCAACTTTTTTAGGGATGGCTCCCTTAGAGTATATAAATAGTTGCTCAAAATTGGTCAGATGAGCTAAATTAAATTCTTAATCATATGCTAGCTGACCAAGGATGTAAATTGTACTCCCTCCGTCTCTGAAAACTCTTCATGTTTTCGGCTGGCTTCTACTTGTTGTCATATTAAGACAACAGCTTCAATCAAAACACTTATGGTGCTTCATTTGTAAAATTGATAATTCTTACCCCCTAACTTCCCCCTCTGCCTCTGATCACCGATCGACTCTAGGAGGAAGGAAGACGTTATTTCAACAAGTAGTATTGTCATTTCAACCCATTCCTCATATTTGAGGGATTTGGATAACTAGGCTAGTAAATCCAAATAAAAGGAATACTTGAACATGCAATCATGCACTACACACTTTTTACTACTCCCTTAAACACGGAGAAATCAATTTTTTATCTCACAAAAGTTTGAAAGTAAAACCAGGCAAATTCAAAGAACATAGGATCTTTTTTTTTTTACAAGATTTATACCAATTCAAGAAAAAAAATATAACCAACATGAATGCATTGCAAAGTCTTTGCATAGATTTATCAGAAATCCATGAAAGTATTATAGTGGTTGAATTTCTTGGCAATGAGAAAATAAAAGTACAATGCAGATATATAAGAGTCGTTTAGAATAAGCAATGGGCAGAAATGAGATTTTGTGTTTTATGAAAATGCTCGATTAGATCTATGTACCAAGATTATACGCGGTATAAATAGCGGTAATTTAAAAAAATGCAGCATTTTTGCTGAATGTGACACAGGAATAAGTGAGAATCTAATGATACAAACAAAAACAAAAAAAAGTATGGGGTAAATAATAATAATAATTCGGGCAACGGGCAAATGGCAGCACAAATACTTTAAAGTTCAAACAAACAAACCCATAATTTCTTCCCGTTTCTGCTCAATAACGCTTCCTCCGGGCAACCACGCATGCTAGCTATACATATCTGCGTTTGAAAAAAAACAAATAAACATGAAAATATCATTAAAACTAAAATCCGTTTGGAAGTAAAAAAAACATGCTAGTGAAAGAAGAGAGGAAAATATATTGGAATTGTAACAAGCAGTTCTCTTTCTGCAGTTCAAGTGGTAAAGGTTTCTAAAATATTGAAAATTTCTACAGTGATTTTTGTTATAAGTTTGCCCCCATGATATACAATCCCGGATTCACCCTGTTGGCATAAACACAAGGATTCCTATGATTATCCATAAGCAATTCAAGAGCAAGAAAAGCATGGAAGAATATGTAGAGAATTGTCTAGACCATAAACAAGATGATTTTAGTGGTCAGTAACCAAGCTATCATAGCTATTCAAGCAGAACCAATCATACAACAACAACTCGACAAGGTCCCACAAATAGGACCTAGGGAGGATTGGGGTACCCTTACTTCTAAAGGTAGAGAGGCTAATTCGGAAAGACACTTAGCTCAAGAAAACATGAAATGAAAATGTGCCCCTACAAATTCAAGCTTAAACAGACTACTTAACCCAATCATGCCTCAGCTGTCTACTTCATTTCTTAGTGACCAATTCAGAAACATGACATAAAATTTTAGGCAACACACGATTTTAATATCACCAGGTTCTTTTGACACTGGGAGTGAGTGTTATAATATGACACTAGTCCATTTGAAGACCTTATGGTGCTCCATTTGACCCCATCATGGTTACTACCCCTACAAACCCCTTCACCCATTTGAGTGACAATCCACGATCAACTTCATTTGAAAGTGATTGTGATCCAAATGAAGGCTAGGGGATTTGAGAGTTGTATCCACTTAGGGCTTGAACAGAGTACCGTGGGGTGCCCAAATCAAGAGGGTGTCATATTATGACACTGGCCCTTTTATTATATTGCCCACACACTATAACACCCCGGCCCCCACCATGGTTGGAAGTGTCAGCTCATCGCACTATAGACTGGTCCCACAAACCAAAAAAGTCTTTCCCACGCACTTTATCCTCACTTGTGCGTGCTCAGGTAACTCTCTAGGGAGTCAGAATTATTCCAAGTCCAACACCCTTAACTTAAGAGTTTCAAAGTGATGCAAAAATGCATCTTTTTAGTATGAGTAATACTATCAATTCTTTTGAGCTCTTTTCTAATTCCATGTTAACCTAGGGTATTACACACACTACTCAAGAATGGTATATACTATGATCGTTTCGGTTGAATGTGAAAATGCAACAAAACTCCTAACCTCCATACTCCGAAATTAATATTTTACATACACACACACAAAAGAAAAAAGCATTTGTCCTAAACACAATAAACAAACACAGCCCAATTAAGATGAAAAGATGAGTTCAAAGATTAGAATTTATGCATACCATCTGATCCAGAACGCTTGGATTGCTTGATCTTCTCGAGCTGGACTTGGGTATCCATGTACAACTGCATCCTCTGAACCTCCAAATCCTTCGCAAACTGCATCCTCTGCTTCTCCAACTCAATCATCTGTCTCTGTTTCATCCCCTCGACTCTCTCGTATATTTCCCCAAACCTCCTAATGGCATTCGCCAGCCTCCTGATTCCCTCGTCCTCTGTGATCCCATTACTCGTTTCCATCTCCTCCTCCTCTTCGGATTCCTCCCTCTCTTCCTCCTCTTCCTCCTCCTCCTCCTCCTCACCGTACCCCTCTTCATCTTCTGCAGCAGTGGCTGCCGCGGCTGCTGCAGCCACGGCTGAGTAATTCTTCTTGAAATACGAGTCGTCCATGGCCGGAGAGGGACGCTTCTGGGGCAAAATTGCCGGCTGAGCCACAGCGGGCGGCGGTCTCCGGAAGGGGAGAGGCACTCCCATGGGGGGAGAGGGAAAAGGCGGCAACGGCATAGGGGAATAAGAGGTCAGAGGGAGGGGCAAAGGGGGGCTGCTCATGGACACCGGGGAGCCTTTGGGGATCTGATTCTTCCCGGAGTTCCCGATCAAGAAATCGAGCCGCGAGAAGAACGGCCAGGACGACGTTAGGGTTCCGTTAGATTCCGAGATCTTGGCCTTCTCCGTCTTGTACTTCTTCTTCAGAGTATCGATCCGGTTCTTACACTGGACATCGGTCCGGTGGGTCTTCTTGGTGTGGCCGTGGAGGGAATTGACGGCGTCGGCAACCTCCTGCCAATCCTTATGCCGGAGATTCCCCCTGTTGAGCTCCATATACCGGCGACCCCAAGCGTCGACGAGCGTCGACGTGGCCTCCTCGCTCCAGCAATCCTCCCGGAAAGGCAACGGTCGGGGAGCCGGAACAAGCGAATCCATCACGGATCGGAGCCGGAAATCCAAGAAAAAGGCAGATCAAAAGGCGAATCGCTGGGATCGGAAGAAAGGGAAATTGGAAGGCGAAGAGAGGAGAGAAGAAGATGGGAACGGCGAGGAAGAAAAGAAAGGGATAGAGGGTATCGCCGGGATGAGGCGCGTGAGCCGCATGTGTAGGAGTACGGTGATGACGACATCGTCTTGTGGAGTGGAATCGGAGAGCTCGGTGGGGCGCGTGAGGTCAACGATCACGTTGCCGAAAGTGGGGCGGCCGACGGGTCTTAGGACTTTAGGTTTCGTTTACGTTCTTGTGATCGCCGATTAGGATTTTCTTTTTTTTTTCTTTTAAATCTTTTTGTTTGCCTAAAAATTTATTTTGTAATTTAATTTTGTTTCGGCCGGCAGAAGAAAGACGGGAAGTATGGGCCGGTGACGAGCTGGGGACGACAAAAGCAGATTCCGTGATCAGTCCGGCCCGTCTACTGCAACTAAGGATTTGTTTGGCATATACCCACCTCCCTATAATTTCATAACAAATTTGAAAATTTGAATTTCAAATCTATATTAGTAAACTTTTAAATTTGGTTAGATTTTCTAAGATATAACAAAGCTAAATTTCAAATTTATACACGTTATTTAAAATTCAAAATTTCAAATTTTAAGATTGAAATATCATAATCAAAATTAAATACTACTAACAGATTCTAAACAATACCAAAAATAAATTCTTGTTACAAGTTTATAACGTTTGACTAGACGCACATGGACTATACCCCCAGCAGGATGGGTGAAAGTGAAAGTGTGAAACTGAACGTCGATACCTTTAATACATTCCAAGAAGCCCACATCGGAGCCGGTTGGATCATCCTTGCCTCGAATGGTTACTTTTGTGTTGTTAAGAATCTCTACATCCCCGCCTCCTACTTTCTGAAGGAAGCAGAAGCTCTAGCAATCCAGGAAGCACTCTAAAGGATTCTACATGGTCCAACATCATTATTGATCATACCGTCCCTCTCGATTATCGAGACTCTCCAAGAGACTGAGATTGATGATCTCTCTCCATTGTTTTATGAATTTTCTTCTTGTAAATCTCTTGCCCTCTTAGCAGGGGTAGAAGTTATTTTTCTCCATTGCTCACCATTCAACGAACGAGATTGCACAAGCTATTGCAGAAGCAATCCGCTCACCCTTGAACATCAGGACCTAGCTCTGTTCCCCACCTCCCTTTGTACTTCCTCTGTTATGAAAGGCATCTTCCATTTTCCTCAAAATAATAAACAAAATAGATTAATTTAGTGCTGAATTGTTGAGCATTAAATGAAATTCATAAATGGAGCATCTAAAAATTACTTCTGTATTTTGGTCAAAATTACTTGGTACACATTGCTTCTCACGCTTGTCTTCTAATTCAGAAATGAGTGAGGAAGAAAGGATTTTTGGACTTTTAGAAATCTAAACAAATCTAGAGAAAACAATACATTAAAATTTATTAAAGTCTACGTAGAATTTAAAAAATCTATAAATTTTACATATTCCATTGATTATAACATATCTATACGTAGTATAATCATTTAAAATCCGATTTGAATACACACCCATTAATTAGGGGTTAAAGTATGTCATTTTTAATTACAAAAAAATTAAAACTAGATGATGGGTAATAACCCAAGGATACCACCCGGTTGGTTCACCGAACAGCACGCGTCTTTTTCAGCCCGGGTTATTTGACCGGTTGGATGAGGAGACCATATGCCAATACCCGAAGATTTACTCAAGTGCACCTGGTGGGCCGGTCAGCCGCCTGACCGGTTGAATAATCAGAGACGTGCTTGACGTGCTTAGGATTATTATAAATACCCTTAAAAGCCTCATTTGTGAGGCATGTTTTAATTAACCTACACGGCTTGTATTTGTAATAACTCCTATTATCATTAATAACAAACCGGGTTACAGGTGATTCCACCTACAACCCTTCCGATTACTCACACTTTATTTTTGCGTGGTAATTTACACCATCAAATTGGCGCCCACCGTGGGGCCTATTACAAAAAAGTCATGGCCAGTAATCAGGAAACCGTGATCTCACAAATTTCTACTCCCGCTGAGAATGTCATTTCATTCCCGGGAGGAAGTTCCCAACCGTCAAGCCAGGTTCCTACCCCCATCATCACCATTCCACCACCTATCCCATTCACTTCCCCCGTGAACCCTGTTCCCGTTTTTCCTTCAAATTTCCCCGGACCCCTTGATCCAATGTACAGCCAGGCTCTTCAGAATTTTGGACATTTCATGTCCATGTTCCAGCAGCCGGGAGGGTTTTCACTTTTCAATCCGGGATTGTATCCACAATCCTCGCCTCAAACTAACGTCATTCGCCCGATCGTTCCGACAAACCTGATCGGGGAGATGGATAAAGC